GGTGATGGTGGTGTGATGGGATTGGTGGTGATGGTGGTGATGTGATGGTTGTGTTGATGGTGGTGATTGGTGGTGATGGTGATGGTGGTGATGGTGGTGATGGTGATGGTGGTGATGGTGGTGAGGGTGGTGTGATGGTGATGGTGGTGATGGTGGTGATGTGGTGATGGTGATGGTGGTGATGGTTGGTTGATGGTGTTGATGGTGATGGTGGTGATGGTGGTGATTGGTGGTGATGGTGTGATGGTGGGTGATGGATGGTGATGGTGGTGATGGTGTGATGGTGGGATGGTGATTTGGCTGGTGAGGTGGGTGATGGTGGTGATGGTGATGGTGGTGATGGTGATGGTTGGTGATGCGTGGTGATGGTGGTGATTGTGATGGTGGTGATGGTGATGGTGGTGATGGTGTCGATTGGTGGTGATGGTTGATGGTGGTGGATGGTGGTGATGGTGATGGTGGTGATGGTGGTGATGGTGATGGTGGTGATGGTGGTGATGGTCGGTGATGGTGATGGTGGTGATGGTGGTGATGGTGGTGATGGTGGCGATGGTGGTGATGGTGGTGATGGTGGTGATGGTGATGGTGGTGATGGTGGTGATGGTGGTGATGGTGATGGTGGTGATGGTGATGGTGGTGATGGTGGTGATGGTGGTGATGGTGGTGATGGTGGTGGAGGTACGTGGTGATGGTTGATGATGATGGTGGCAAGGGTGGTGATGGTGATGATGGTGATCAGGTGAGGAAGGTGATGAAGGTGATGATGGTGATGAAGGTGATGATGGTGCTGCTGCTGCTGATGATGATGATGGTGATGATGATGGCGATGATAATGATCGGTTTTGATCATCATCATCATCATCATCGTCACCGTCATCGTCATCGTCATCGTCATCATCATCATCATCATCATGATCATCATCATCATCATCACCATCATCATCCTCATCAAATGATGACGAAGATGTTGCAGCAAAGAGTCGGTGTGTATGCATGTGTGTGTGTGTGCAACATCTCACTAAATGTAAAACTTGCACCTTCGGATTTCTACGTGTTCCGTTGATTTCGATGACTTTGAATTACATGATGTGTGCAGGGGTTGCATGACCAACTGAGCTGTTCTATTCAAATCAAATTACTGCAAAAGGGCAATCTCATGCTTGCAGCTGATTGCCCAACGAAGAGGGCTGCATTCATGACGGATATGACTCTGGGATACTTGCTGGAGTCACGTACCTGCATCTTTTTTACCTCATTTTTCCCCAGATAGCGAAGCTATTGGAGTTCTTACTTCAAGTATAGGAGGAGTAATTGCATGTCTGCCTTTTGGAAAAAGCATGTTGTTGCCACTGCCGGGTGTCGCTGCAGGTGGTGTCCGCTTTCGAGCGGGCATGCTGGCGCTTGGTGCCGCTGCAGGGTGCCGCTGCAGGGCGCTGTTGCAGGATGCCGCTGCAGGGTGCTGCTTGCGGGTGCTGGTGCTGCTCGGCTGCAGATTCCGCTGCAGCGTCGCTGCACCGCTGCAAGTGGCATGCTGGTGTGCTGCAGGGTGCTGCTGCAGTGTGCGCTTTGGAGTGCAGCTGCAGTGTCGCTCAAGCTTCTCGGGGTGCTGCTGGTGCCGCTGCAGTGTGTCGCTAGACCGGTGCTGCTTGAGGGTGGTGCTGGTGCCGGTGCACGGTGCCGCTGCAGGGTGCTGCTTGGCTTGACTGTCCAAGCGGTGTGTGCTTTGGAGCGGGCACTGGTGCTTCTCAGGGTGCCGCTGCAGAGTAGCGTGCGCTTTGGGCGGGGATGCTGGTGCCGCGCAGGGTGTCGCTGCAGGGTGTGCTGCTGTTAGAGTGGAGTGTGCGCTTTGGAGCAGCACCCGGCAGCAAAAGCACACACCCTGCAGCGATGCCCGCTCCAAAGCCGCACGCACCCCAGCACCCTTATGGTAGAGGACTCACCGGTGCACTGGAAAGTGACTCACCTGCGATAAATTAGGGGAACAGGGTGGGACAGGGGAACAGGGGAACAGGGGAACAGGGGGGAACAGGGGTAGCAAGCGAGAAACCAACCTTTAGGTTTCTACATTAGGGGAACAGGGGAACAGGGGGGAACAGGGGTAGCAAGGGAGAAACCAACCTTTAGGTTTATAAATTAGGGGAACAGGGGGGGGAACCGGGGAACAGGGGTAGTAAGGGAGAAACCAACCTTTAGGTTTATAAATTAGGGGAAAAGGGGGGGGAACAGGGGAACAACGGAACAGGGGTAGCAAGGGAGAAACCAACCTTTAAGTTTATAAATCAGGGGAACGGGGGGGGGAACAGGGGAACAAGAGAACAGGGGAACAGGGTAGCAAGGGAGAAACCAACCTTTAGGTTTATAAATTAGGGGAACAGGGGAGGGGAACAGGGGGGAACAGGGGAACAGGGGTAGGGGGGGAACAAGGGAACAGGGGGGAACAGGGGGGAACAGGGGGGAACAGCGGTAGCAAGGGAGAAACCAACCAACCTTTACGCTAATACACTAGGGGAACAGGGGGGAACAGGGCAACGGGGCAACAGGGGGGAACAGGGGAAAAGGGGGAACACCAAGGGAGATGACACACACGCACACACACACACGCTTCTACACACAAAAGGTCTTACACACACAAGCTGTCACACACGGACGCTTTTACACACAGACGCTGATACACACACAAGCTTTTGCACGCATCATCATCTGTTACACACAGACGCTTTTACACACAGCAAGCTTTTACATACAGGGGAAGAAGGGGGGGGAACAGGGGAACAGGGGAACACACAGACGCTTTTACACACAGAAGCTGTTACACACACACACACGAGCTTTTACACACAGAAGCTGTTACCCACAGAAGTTATCACACACAAACAACATTTTACACACAGAACACTGCTACACACACATGTGTGAGACACAAAACGTCTTACACACACGCAAGCCGTCACACACGGCCGCTTTTTCACACAGAAGCTGCTACACACACACAAGCTTTTACACACATCATCCTCTGTTACACACAGACGCTTTTACACACAGCAAGCTTTTACATGCAGAGGCTGTTACACACCGCAAGTCTTTACACACAGAAGCTGCTGCACACGCAAACCGTTCTAAGGTGACGCTACATAATCTGGAAGGTTCTGCTCACTGCCACAACGTTGTCAGCAACAACTCCATTCACACTGACTTACTAACGTCGACCATGACGGTGATGATGAGCATGATGATAGTGATGATGATGATGATGATGAAGAAGAAGATGCTGATGATCACGTCGACCATGACAGTGTTGATGAGCATGATGATGGTGATAATGGTGATGATGATGATGATGATGATGAATATCATGAATGAAGGTGCATCCCGTGCACAGGCGAGTCCGGCCATCCCGTGCACCAGCGAGCCAAAATCCCGTGCACAGGCGAGGCGGTTACCCCCCCAGGGTAACAGCACCCCAAAGCGCACGCAGCACTCTGACAACAACACCCTAAAGCAACACCTCCAGCGACACTATGCCCAGCATCAAGGTGCTGCTTGAAGGTGCTGCTGTCAGAGCAGTCTGTGCACTTTGGAGCGGGCATGCTGGTGCTGCTGTCTGTATGTCTTTGCTGTTGCCATTGCAGGGTGACGCTGCACCGTGCTGGTGCAGGGTGCTGCTTTAGGGTGCTGCTGTGTGCTCTCTGCGCTATGGATGGGTCTTGTTGCCGCTGCAGGCGCTGTCAGAGCGGTGTGTGCGCTTTGGAGCGGGCATATGCTGGTGCCGCTGCAAGGTGCTGCCATCAAAGTTCTTTATATTCTTTGTGCTTTGGAGTTTGGTTGCTAGTGCCGCTGCAAGGTGCTTCTGTCAGAGTGCTGTTTGCGCTTTGGAGCTTTGTTGCTTCTGCCGCCCGCTGCAAGGTGCTGCTGTTTGCGCTTTGGAGCTTGGTTCCTGGTGCCGCTGCAGGGGTGCTGCTGGAAGGCTGTGCTGTCAGAGAGCTGTTTGCACTTTGGAGCTTGGTCCGCTGCAGGGTGCTGCAGTTGGAGTGTGATGTGCGCTTTGGAGCCGGCATGTTGGTGCCGCTGGAGGGTGTGGGTACAAGGTACTACTGTCAAAGGGCTGTCTGCATCTTAGGAACTTGTGTTAGAGTGCGGTGTGCGCTATGAAGCTTGGGTGCTGGCGTCGCTGCGCGGGGTGGCTGCGAGATGTCTATGGGAGTCTGGGCATTGGGCCCTGATAGAGATGACGTTTATGCAGTAGCAAAAAACCAGCAAACAAATCTTTTGCTATCTGGGGTCTATTCTGGTGTAATTTACACTCAACTTGTTGTGACCGTGATGGGACGTGGCTAACCCAAGAACCACCTCACCGATTTTGCAATCAATTTTCCATGTCTTGCACGTTTGCTGCAATCTGGTCTATTTTTTTTGGGTTACCTATTTGGATTTTTCCACTACAAGGAAGGGAAGGGTCGACTCCAATCTTGTTGACAGCATATTAACGTCGCTGAATACAATTTGTGGACCGCAAATACTCAACTTAAGATGCATTCCAACTTCACTATTCGAAAAGCAATTCTGAGCAAGTCTGTGTGTGCGAACACTGCTAGTCACATGCAGCTGCAACGCAGTTTCAAATATGTTTGATTTCATCAACATGCAGGGGCCATCCATGTACTGTGAGCGATGGTCCAACAAATCGGCCACAGTACTTGCGGATATCACGGCTGATCACCGTGACGTACCTGCCATTTGATGTTTTTCTCTGACATGGCGTGGGGCTAAGCCTAGAACCCCTGTGTTAGTTGTTAGTGGTTGTTGATCAGAACTTTCACCCAGGATGCTTTCCCAGGTTTTGTCGTTAAAACGCTCCATTACTTTTCTCATACAGTGTGTGTCTGTGTGCGCGTTGCCCCGTCACTTGGAATATTCTTATGCATCAGCCTTGTCGTGAACCGACACAAAATGAAAACGCCGCAGGTGAAACAGCTGAACCGTCACAGCTGATGCCACGTCACTGATGCCATGGCTCGATCGCATCCTTTGCAATCGCTGAAGGTCCCACGCAGTCGCAAGTCGAGCAGCAACGGGTGCACCATCTCTACCATCAACATACTCCATACCGTCATCACCAGGAAGCAAAGCAAGAAAGACCATACCAAGGTCTTCGCACATGTAGCCTCAATGCATCTCAAATGCAAGCAATGAAAAGGCGAGACGTTTGCATGCGTGGGTTTTCCGATAACGTTTTCAGGTGTCATGATATGTCATGATCAAGCGCAGGCGATTTTTGGATTTGTGGCCGATGCCCTGTATTCCCTCAATATCATTCAATATCAATGGTATTCAATGGTCCTTTGGGACAATGCAATGACCAAGCGTGACTTTATGTGACTTGACTACGTCACTGGAGCTCTACAATTCTTCAGTTCGAAGCGGTTCATGCTTCCTCACTTTTCTGATGCTTCTTTCGGCTTGCATTGCTTTCGTGCAAAAGTGATGTAAAAAACATGCGAGGGAAAAAGAGAGGACACACTGAGACGGCCTGTAAAGAACAACAAATCATAACAAATCACTGAATGAAAGCTAGTGTAGCCATCATCGTTGCCAATTTGTGCAACTCTCGCAATGTGCGGATCTTCCTCAACAGTCGGATCAGTCGAAAGATGCGAACAAGGCGAAGTGCCCGGACCACGCCAACCCGAACTACAGACTCACTATCCATGAAAGCGTCCAGGAGCATCTCAAGATAACCGCAGACTATGATACCCAAATCCATGCAAATCATCCAGTCACGCAGAATGCCAAGCCCTTGCAAAGATATGTGAAGGAGAAGTTCCACGGTGTAAAGCACCAAACACAAGTCTGAGAGCACGAGGAAGGCTTCTGGTGTAGTCTGGCCTTTGGCCCGGGCATCTATATCTCTGCAAGTGCAGTATGCATCGATGAAGACCACGATCACGATGAAATTCGCAAGGTACACGCTGCTTAAGAACTTGGAAGCCTCCCATGGCATCGCGTCACTATCATAGTATCCAGCGTACCTAGCTTAACTACTTATCATGCAATTCCAAACTTGACACATCTTGCACATTGTTGCACCTACCTTATAAGCATCCCTTGACCAACCATGCTGGGGAACCCCAAACGGCTGCAGGCCTTCTGCTTCCAACGTTCCCAGACACTTCCATCGCTCTCGTCATCAGGCGCGCGCACAAAATCTGCAACCACACTGACCCCTCGACGTGACTTTCCATTCTTCACAGCATCATCAATAGTTTCTGAACGGGTCCCTTCGGAGTCACTGCGGCCGCGTGTAAGTCGCGATGCCATAGCACCACAATTGCGGGAAGCCTATGAGAACCCTTCTTTGAGAAGAGCCTGGTAACTATAGCCAAATCTCTTGCGGCAGAAACATAAACGAATAACATGCCCATGACTGTCCGCTATCTAGCCACCTATTATCTTTTCAAATATGACCGCAGCAGCTTCCAACAAATGGTGACTGAGCCTCTGTGAAAGAATTGCTGGAACTACAACAGCAGCGGCAAATACCGAACTCTTTTCGCAATGTCTCCACTAGTTGCGGCACAGAAAACGAAGGGAAATCAAAAGCAATCTCTTAGAGATCCTTTGACAGTTCTATGCTCGGTCTTGGGGCCAAATGAACTTGATTTTGTTCGTCATGTAGTGAAGAAGACCCGCTAACTGGAAGGGTGCCAAATTGAAAGCTTCTGGTCGGCGCGTCAGCCTCAGAGGTCCGGCGTCTCGAGTCATGAGGCGCAGAAGGCCGCAGCGCCGAAGAGTCTAGAGATGCTAGAGAAATTCGCTGACGGCGGTTTATGTACATGCTCCTGCAAGGGTTGAAATCTGAAACCCACAGCGCGGTGGCGGTTGCTAGTGCTCAAAAAAAACAATTGGGTTATTTTTCAAGGAATAGTCATGGGAACCTGCGATGGCGTCCCTTCTCTTGTCACTATCATTAAATAATTTCTAGGCCTTAAGTAGGTCAAGTTTAGATCAGCACCACCCTTACGTATTATTGCATTTTATAGCATATTATTACATTTTATTGCATATATAAACCAGAAACCTATTATCTATTTTATATGTTTGCATTTATCAATCAATCAAACCTACTTGAGAATTAGTCAGCTTGATTTTTTCTCATACTTCGAGTCATCCAGGACAAACAACATGCACACATTTGAGCTGAATTCAAACTTGCAACCTCTGACAGTGATATGACACTGACATGACACTGACAGTGACATGGGAAACTTTCAACATAAGCGGATACGACCACAGTTTGCTGTTTTTTTCTGGGATTTACTGGGCCTTCTTTACTTGGCCTTTTTTTTTATTGCCTGGCGCTGGTCGGCCTAAGGCTTTTCTGATTTTGGAAAGCCACAGGGGAAAGCTGATAAACTGGATAAGACCGAACAGATCGGCAGGGTGTGCAAGAAACCGGATTAGATCGGCTGGACTTACGGCTTCTTGTTCGAATAGATCGGCTGGGTTTACAGCACAAACCGATTATATCGGTAGGGGTTTGGAAAACACAGGTTCAACAAATGACAGAAAATGCATTTAATATCTCCATCTGTGTCAAACTTCACCCAAAACTTGCATTAAAAAAAATAAATATATATCTGATATATGTATATATCTTTTTATATCTTTTCAGATCCTAAGAAAACAGACATATAGGAAAAACATGAAACTGCTCAAAAAAAAAATAGAATCGCATTTTTTGGTGTTTTTCTGTGATTTCCTGTGATTTACTTGCTTGGCTGGCCGTGCAGCGCTGAGAGCCTGATTTCTTTTTCACCTCCACTTGACCACACCGTTGGAGTGACTTGAATGTGTTTGTGGGATCAGGGGGGTATGGCATGGGTCTTTAACGAATCTTAGTTCGAAATGTTTCAAGCCAACCGATGAACATTCATGCAACCGTTGAAAGACACAAGAATACGAAAAATATGACTCTCATGAGCTGCTTAGGTGGAACATGGCCTGGCCGCAAGACATTGTGCAACTCCCTTGTAAAATCAAATCAAACACAAAAATCCACGGCTCAGAAAAAAAATAAAGCAGTTTTTTTCCGCCCTGCCCTCCTGGATTCTTTCCACTGGTTCATTTCTAATGAAGGCCAAACATTGAAAAACTAATCTGCGCCAACGTTCCCATGTTTATTCTTTCGTTTTTGATTCCAAACCTTTCATACAAGGCCCCTTGCATGGATCTGATTCGCTGACGGGTTTTCAAGTTTGTCATTGTTCAAAGATCAAGCATGTTTCCATGGGTTCTAATTGTTTTTATTTGTTAGTTTGTTTTCTTGCTTTTTTGATCATCTTGAAACATGGTCTTTATATGTCTTTATTACTGAGCTTTTTTCATTCTCACATTCCCTTTTTTCATCTGTTTTTTTCCATGTTTTCATTTGTCATTTTTTCCCTTGTGCCAAAACCCAGCTGGTCTAACACCGAGCTGATCTCATGCCTAGAAATGATTTATTGACATTACTTTCAATCGCCGGAAAACAACATTGGAAATAATACGAACTATAATTAGCGGTTGCTGGTAAATGAAAACATCGAGCACGAACAAAACAAACTGCTGCGTCTATGCAAGAGTGAACTGCCACCAAATTAGGGAACACCTACAAATAAAATACGATCAGGCACGTGCTAAGCATGCAAAAACTGTGGTTGGCATACGCCGTATTTTTCTTGAAACGTGGGCGCGTGTACACGTGCTGCGTTGCATCCAAAAATTTGCGCGTCGTCTTTAGACAAGAAAACAACTGGAACCTTTCAAGCTCTCCAAAACTGCATAAATTAGAGAACGCTCCTTTCCTGAAAGCTTCAGGGTGGAGCATCGGAGCTTTCCTTCGCGATCTTGGCCCCGGTCCTCCTTTCCAGGATTCTACATCCTCACTTCCCAGTCCGACTTCTGGGACTTTCATCCTGCTTCGGTCCAGCAGAACATCCAATTTGGATTCAAGTTTCGCCATCGAAGATTCCAAAAGGCTTTCAAGAAGATCAAGATCATTCATGTGGTTCTTCTCGGCTTTGGACGTTTTGGGCGAAAGGAACTCTCCAACTGTAGATGTTCGAGGTTGATCCACTTGGTCAGCCTCTTGCTGCGTGCTCTTTGTTGAAGCTACCTCTTCAGTCGCATGCCTAGTCCACAAACCCAGGTTGGAACTCAGAATTCCATCAGACCCCACACAGGTTAAGGGCGTTGAGGGTGAGGGATTTGAAGGATTCGAAGGCCCAGGTCCGCCAGGCAGCCCCGCAGGTCCCCGTAACTTGGACTCATGTCGGCTCTCGGGTCGACTCTCATTCTGCCGGGTTCCATACCCAATCTTTCCCAAAGCCGAAATCTGAAGTGCCAAATCATCAACCCTCTTTGCCAAATTCTCAAAACAATCCTCGGAAAGCGCGTAAAGATCTTCCTGAAGATGCATAGTCTGTAGCATGTTGTATTTGATGAAACGGGGGGCTGTCTTGGAGTCGTGAGCACATCTGCTCAAAGGCCCAATAAACTCTGCAACTTCGATGGTGCCTAGCGGGTCCCCAGAAACCAAAACAAAACGTTGGAAAAACAAACTTGCTTGCAACCTTGCACCATCCAACCTCGGCTCCCTTTTAGCTTAGAGTAGATCTCCCGACGCCCGCACATGTGAAAAGGCAAGAGCCCAACGGAAAGAAATGATGTTCAGAAAGTGGTTACTTGGATGAATCTACAATCAATTTCTTTGGTGCTGGTTTGGTGGCGTGTGGGCGCATCATTCACAAAAAACAACAAGGCGCTGATGAACCATTGGACTTTGGCTGAAATCTTGGGGGTGGCTGTTGGTTCCGGATTTGTTGGGGCCCCTCGCCTGATCGATCCATATCAATCATCTGGAAAAGTTGGTGCAAATCATTCCTTGGTGGAACCACCATGTGCCAATGCAGCGAGCAAGACATGTGCTGACCATATTCTTTCAATCCCAAAGTCTCCAAACACCACCGTGCAGCGCATCTTTTCCCTGTGGTGCTGGTACGATTTTCGCGTGAATATGAAGCACTCTCACAAGCACTGGCACTAGCACTAGCACACACAAACACACACACGATTGAAAGACCGCATGTCGCATGGAGTCCTGATTGGTCCATCGAATTCGTTTGTCTTCCTTGCCAGTTCTATATGACATCTGGAAAACAAATTCCAAAAAAGCCCCGCAACACTTGTTGAACATGATGCAGCCACCCTTGAGTTCCGAAGGACTGTGTTCCGTAGACTGCATCGAGCACGGCGGCATTAGCCGCCGTTTTCTGTTCCATAAAGGTCCAGGAGCACATGCTCCTGAACCAACGCCAGCCAAGTCAACAGGCGTAGATGTTGGACCTTCGTCACGTCCCAGGTCGGCCAAGAAAATCGCCAACTCAAGAAATTGCCCGGCTTGGCCGGCCGGCTAACTGCACCAGGGAGTCCTCGGCACTTCCAAGCCAAGTGTTCAAAGGTTGCCAATTGGAAGTTGCACCATGGACACTTCGGGGACTCTTCCGGCTTCATTTGTGAAGCATGGCCGGACTGCAAATTGAATCAAGCATGATGGCTCTGCCATTTGCTGATGTAGATTCCATTGCTTTCCGCGCTGCTTCCAAATCAATTTGTTCCAGTTCTCCTCGCATCGGCAGTGGACTACTTCGCCACTGCCATTGTTGTGCCTCATGTCGGGGTCCCAAGCCCCACTTTTGCAACAAGGTTTGCCGCCAAACTTGTGTCTGGTGGGCCTGTGAAGTTGTTTCGGCACTCGCCCGCAAAGAAAGTTGAAGACTACCCGGTCTCCAACGCCAAGGTGCGATCTCATCCCATTTGAAGTCTGTCATCCATTTCCGAAAAGCTTGAATAGGAGTACCTGGTTGATTGCTCCATGTGATGTTGCCCTTACACCTCATGCAAAATCTCTGAAGCATCCTCGCCGCAGCCAAAGGATGAGCATGCGTGTTGCCTCCATACAAGACTGAGCGAATCATTGGGTTGGCCAGGCGGTTTGTGCCTGTCATTTTTGTCAAATTGCTGTTGAACAAAGCATTAGACTGTGGTTTGCGTCGGAAATCTGCTGATCCATCCAAACAGGGCCTGAGGCCTTAGGCACTTTGTATAGCTCCAACTTCCGTCTGATTGACACCGGAAGGCATCCCAAAAGCTTGGATCTATTGACAGCAGCTGCAATACGTTGGTTTTCAGCCGCTGTGTTTTTGGAGGGCCGGGCACGAATGCTGACCCCCAAGACCTGCATTGTTTTCTCCTGCGCCCATTGCGGTCTGTCAACAACGAGTTTGTCTTGCATCGCCTTGGTTTTTGCCAAGGCCTGTGCTGTCCAGA